GTGGAGAAGATATCGGAGGACAATATAGAGTTTAGCAGAAAATCGAAATTTCGAAACACCTCTGTGTACTCTTGTTTAACATTTATTATGCGGGTTTTTTTTTATTGAGAGATTCGTTGAGCGAGCAACGCCTCTAAATGCTGTTAATATTTAAGACACTCATCTTAAATATTATTGCCCATTAATTAATATTTTTCTCTCAAAAAAGTTAAAAAAGCTTTAGTTTTGTATAGCTTTCTAATTTCAAACATGCGTTACTATGTCAGACCTCTAATTTATATATCATCCTTTGATGAAGATATACGGATTCTATATCCCCTTCAATTAGGAAAAATACGGTCGGGTTTAAAAATTTTCTTTTGGTCGGATTTAAGGCCTATATGTTCCAGTTTTTGTCTTGGGTCTTGTCTTGAAGAATAAAGAGTGGCGTGAGAACGATAGAATATTAATTCTACTTCAACACAACATAAAAACTTTCACAAAGACTCAAGACAAAAAATTAACAAGAATTAGACAATTGTTTGGTCCTCAAAACAAATTACATTAATTTAATTTGCCCCTTCGACACGAACACCTACATAATTTCGAAGAATACATAATAATATAATCAAAACTAGAATTTTGAGAAATCTTTTATTCGTAGAAAAAATTTGCATGGACTCGGGCTATGTAGGCCGACGTAGACCCCCGGCCTTCCAAATTCTCAAAAATTCGCTAATTGTCTCCATAAATCTCAAAATTTTCTCCCGCGGCGTAAAAAATCACACTAACTGGCCTTTATAAGAAAATACCCAACAAAAATACCCCACCTTAATTTTTGACGTTTTTAATATCTGGTTGGCCATTGATGTGTTTGGATAAACGATATGTTCCATTTGGTTATACCAAAGTGGGGTCTTAGTTTAATTAAAAACAAAAAAACTAAGCCATAATAGACATTAATTAAAAGATATCAACGGAAAACTATTGAAATTTTTTCCATATTTTATATAAGAGACTGATTATTATCATTTTCAGAAAATTTAAACATTTAAAATTCATAGAGAAAAATGAATTTTTTCATTCTTGTTATGATAATATTTCTTCTTTTGATAACCCATCTTCAATTAACCAATGGAATGTTTCATCAAGGAGGTTTTTATTTTAAATTATGTTTATATAATATTAAAATTTTGGTAATTCTTTAGAATCTGGGATCCACTTTTAAAAATCTTAAAAATCATTATTTTTTTCTGAAAATCATTTTATTTAGGTAATCGGCCATGCTGAGTTCGAATCTGATATCAAATTTTGTCAAATTTGACATTTTATCTATGATATTTTTTCAATTGCTTGATTTTGGGTCGCTTTAGTAAATGCCCACAGTTTTTCCAGCGAAGATTCCGTTGGTCATAACTTAGTTCAGAATCACCTAATCAAGCTGATTTTGGTGTCATTCTACTCAGCTCGTCGAGCCCTTTCGAATGAGCTATTATTTGTATCGAATTTTTTGACCCCAAAAATTTTCTAATTTAGGGGGTCTGTAACTCGGCCCTATGGAGTCGGATCGCGATGATTCGGTGGCATTCGACTCAGCTCGAAAAGTTGAGTCAGATTAGCCTTAAATTTTTAATTTCGAAATTTTACCACTTTATTCGACCTGGTCGAATTCAAGTCCGGGGTTCGAAATAAACAAATTCTAAGCTCAGATTCGGACTCAGAATGGCCGATTACCTAAATAAAATTATTTTGAGAAAAAAATAATAATTTTTAAGATTTTTAAAAGTGGATCCCAGATTCTAAAGGATTACCAAAATTTTCTTGCAGAAAGTTCAAGCTCTAGAGGAAAACAAGTTCAAATGCATTCAAGTCCCCAACCTTCTACTGAGTCTGTAATGAATTTTTCGCTCGTTGAATTGTCAATTTTAATTCGCGTTTTGCGCTTTATTAAAATTGATGCGATCAAAGACATCACAGACCCCAATTTTGATTTGGAAAAAATTATTGAATGGTATCTCGTCAATGACTTTAATACTTTACAAATGGAAAATAAAGATTCAATCGGACATATTTATGTTCAATTGAAAACTAAGTTGACACAGGTGGATTCTTTTTGTATCCTTAGTAAATTTCAAGCTTGAATGCATCTCTACCGTAAAATAATCATTTTCAAAAGCATTTCGTAAATTCAAAACTATCAAAATTCAAAAAAGACAAAAACGGCTCCCTTTATTATTCGCGCCAAATTTTCGATCTGTCAGAATCTTTATTGTATAAGATTTAATAATATTTTTAAGATTGTCGAGCAATATAATCAGTATTTTCCATATCATGTAATATGGGATGCAAACAATTCATTACGATTTAGAAATTCAATTATTGCCGAGGGATTGAAAGAATATAGTTCAAAAATGGAAATAAATAAATTTAATGATTTTTTGTGGTCAAGGGAAATTTTGCCCGCAAATTGGGAAAATTTGGATCTTCAAACTTTGTTAAATGAGTCTTTTAAAATAACGACATATTTGAGGTTAATAATACTAGAGATTACACAAAATCTTCTTTAATCGATCATAATCCACTTATGTACCCTCTTAGATTTTTCAACCTTAATAAAATATGGGGATCCTTTGGTATTGTGCTTTGAAAGACAGTGCCAAAAACAATTACTTATTTTAGGGAGGAGAAGGAAGGGGGGGGGGGTTATTTTGGCGGGGTGTTATTATGAGCAAGGGGTGTTCCTTCGATGAACTCTACAGGGGTGTTAGTTTAGATGGTGGGGTTATTTTGAAGTGTGGGGTCTATTTTAGAGTAAATACTGTATTTATTTATTACAGGGGAATACACAAAATAAATTTGTACAACGAGTGTAAGAAATTATTGCAAAATACATACAATGCCAAAAGAAATATTTACCTTTTTTGGAATTTTTTTTCCCTAGCTCGTATGCTCATTCGACAATTTATACAAAACAGTAATCCTGACTACGTCAATTTATTGAAGGAGTTTAAAAATAAGAATCTGTATGTTTTTGTGTTTAATTAAAGTCTGGTTTTATTTAATAATTTAAAGATTTATTTCGAAAGTAAATTTTCTTGACGATTATGATTCTATTTATGATACTTTTTTAATTTTAAATAGGAATTTATAGAAATTTAGTGATATAACAATGCCTAACATAAACACCGTAGCATTTGAAGGGATTTCGTGATATAAGGGGAGTCGACGAGATAAAATGGGATATCGGTGGATTTGAATTGAATAGGAATTTATTGGGTTAAAGGGATTTGGATAGGCGTGGGAGTTGTAGCATTTAATTTGGATATAGAATGAATTTTCGTTGGGTACCGGAATTTTCGTCTTTGGAAGTTTCGTCCCCAAATTTTCTGAATTTTCATCTCCAGCGGAATATTTGACACCAAGTCATAAATCGGAATATTAGTCACTCGAATTTTTCCTCCATACCGTAATTATGGTAAAAGAGAGGCTGTGTCCTGGATTTTGTGAGATAATAATTTTTTAAATATGCTGTTAGAATTTCAAAATAATTTATTTAAAAATAAAATTATTCAATAAAGCAGTAGAATCAATATTTATTTTATGTTTATTTGTTAAATTGGCTGTCCTTAAGCATATAATAATTTTCAAATACATGTAAATAAATAATTATAATTATTTCGTAATTTTTCATTAATCAAAGATGGAAATTTTAAAAAGTATGCCGCCCGATTCTTCACTTTTCTCCCAAAAGGGCGTTCTATTGGATAATGCCGTTCAGTTAGACAATACGTTACTCCTCTTGGAAGGTGATTAATAGAATGCCCGGGCATTCAATTAGGGAAATACGGTAGAATAGTAATACAACCTAGCAGAAAATTTAGTAGAAAATTATAGAGAATTAAATGCCGCCTTATAGAACTAATAGCATTTTATAATATTTATAGTGTCAGCAAGTTTCGTTATTTGCTTCAAAAAACACTTTGCCCCATCCTCGAGAAAAATCTCCATTGAGTACTCATCGGAAAATTATGACAATTCATGGGGTAATTTGTTTGAATTTATTTATCTGCTCTTTTATCCGATGTTTACGTATTGTCTAATTGAACGGCGGTATCATAAAGAATGGACTTTTGATAGGAAAGTGAAGAAACTGGCGGCATACTTTTTAAAATTTTCATCTTTGATTAATGAAAATTAAGAAATAATTATTCAATAAAATGTGGATATAAAATCAGTGCTGTATTTATTTACATGTATTTGAAAATTATCATATGCTTAACGACAGCCAATTTAACAAATATACATTTAAATAAATATTGAGTCTGCTGCTTTATTGAATAATTATATTTTAAATAAATTCTTAAAAAATTCTAACAGCATATTTAAAAAATTATCTTTCGACAGTTTCCGGCGACAGATGTTGATATCTTGTGTTTAAATAAAATAAACGACAGTCGCTTTATGATTTCCATTCGTAACGTGTCGCCTATTTTATGTGAAGGTTCTGAAGGTATTTTACCTTCTGAAGGTATTTTAGTTGGACAGTGGTATTGTAGTTAAACTTGTGTTAGAATTTAATAAAAATGAAAGGCTGTTCGACAACTTTAATTTATAGTGGATAACTTTATCACAATCTTTCGAAATTCTGTCGAGTTACACTCTTATGAAGGCAAAAAAACGATAAATTTTTTATAAATTTCTTCATTTTTAAAATACACATGATTTACAAAACGCGAGCATATTTTTTAAACACGCCTCTTAAAGTACATATTTGAAAGCTGTATTTAATACCGGCACTATACACCCATTTTCACTCAGTAAAATTTACTAATTTCTTCCTCCCTACATAAAATATGTAAAATTTTCTCCTTTTTAAATTTGAATATCAAAAAAGAAATGAAGATTTTTCTTTATTTTTTTATTCTATTTGATAAACCTCCTTCAATGGCAAATTGTTGGAGGTATAAAAAGACAAAGCGACTGTTTGTTTTTAATTTAAAAAATATATGTAACAGTCATGCTTGTCGTGAAAACGAAGAAAAAATCATGTACTGAACAAATGTCATAATTAGATATTGGAGGATTTGATTGAAGAAAAAAGTTACATTCCACGGCTAGATTTTCTTCAGATTTCGCTTTCCACTCAATTCCGCATTTTACGGAGTTCCGTTTTCCAAAGATCCATCTTAAGCTTTTTACTTGTTAATTTTTAGTCTTGAGTCCTGGAGTCTAGTCTCAGTCTTGGGTCTTGGAAAATTTTCCGTCTCGGACAGCTGATAAATTTTTAAATATATAAATTTTTCTTTAATTTCTTTCTTACAGAAATAAAAAAATTTCAAAAATGAAACAATTCCTTTTCGTTTTATTATTTTATTTTGTCATAAACCAATGTCAAATACAATTGACGGTTGGGATGGAGCATGGTATGAAATTGATGGAAGGAAGTGCTTCCGAATCTGAACAAGGGGTTCAAGAGGTTGAGCAAAATTATGCAGAATTTGAGGCTGAAGTTGAAGAAATTCAAGGAGTTCCCAACTTTTCGCTTACGGAAATATATTCTCTTATTGTAATTTTGAACAATCTAACAGTTGGAATATTACAACAATATTCGAATTTTCGTTTAGAAATAATTATAGACAGCTATTGCAATCCTGAAGCTCTAGCTTGTAAAAAAATTAAAAAGGTTAATAAACACTTTATATTAAATATAGAAATTATTTTAAAAGGTTATTGGAGTGTATAATGACATTTTTTGCCAAGAAGGAGAATCAGAAAATGCGAGAAATCATTATCTTACCTTAGGTCTTTTTGTTTTTGCCCGAAAGTTCATCCGTTCATTCTTTAACCTTCATGGTACAAATAAATACTATGACAACTTGGTTGAGCGGTTTAATCCGTAGGTTTTATTATATGTATTTTCTTAATAATTTAAAACCTAATTTCGTTTTTTAATAGATCGATAAGTATTATTTTTAAAAATGCGAATTAACGGATTTTTTGATCTTTTGAAGATTATTGGGAGTTTTTAAACTTTCTTGCAGTTTAAAAAATAAAATGACATTTTTTCTCTTACGTCCTTCCAAAATATCAAAATTTGCAAAAAAGTGATCTCTCATAAAAAGTGATTTTTTAGCCGAAGGAGCATTTTCGGATTTTTGACCCCAAAATCGAACTTGCTCTCTCTTATGATTTTCCAAGTTTCGGATTTCTGTTTCTCGGTACACAGGCATTTTTCGGACCCTGAAAGTGGTACCATTAAATTCTGTTAGCCGAGACGAATAATTTATTAATTGAATCGGTTTCGAACCAGACACCGGCTAAATTACACCCAAATAATTAATTTAAGTAAAAAGAAAGTTTCAATTTTGCAATATTTGACGGTCTATGACCTTTATGAGGCAAAGGCAAACGAATGGATAATCAAAATTAAAGAGTGGAATGAGCATCAAATGTCCCTTGAAAATTTAGAAACGTTAGATATTCTACCTACGTCACAGGTTTCAATAGAAAACGAAAATTATATTAACGAAGGGATTGTTGGCGAAAAAATTTTCACATACGATGGTAAAATATTTTATTTTTTAAAAGTTATAAAATTCAAAATTGAATTATAGTTAAATTAAAAAATAATCAATTTAATTAAGGTTGTAGGAAATAAGAAAATTTATAATTCTTTAAAAATTTCTGAAAATTCAAAAATCATAAAATAATTTTCTGCATATAAGTGTTTTTCAGAAAATCCAATAATTATTATTTTTTAGTTATAAACGAAGAAGTAAATTATGAAGATTGTAGAATGTTTAATAGAGCTTGCATGGTTCCAGGAGGAAAGAACTCATTTAGACCATTCTATTCGTACTTTTATGGTCTTAACGAAAATGTTAAACTAAAACTTGAACATCAACTTATAAATCCATTTTTGACTGAGAAAATATATGAGGAACACAGGAATAAAATGTTTGGATTTTACGTGGTCTTTAAAGGAGATGTTAAATATAATCAATATCTGCCACAGAAACAGATTCAGATATCAATTCATGTATGTTTTTATTATCAAACCTCTTGTGGAAAAAAATAATTAACAATGCTAATAATGTAAAAATCACAAATAATTAAATTGTCAATAAACTAAAAATGTTTACTAAACAATGGGATGCCGGTTTCGTGGGATGCCGGTTCTAAAACTTTTAATCTCACAATGTTCTTCTTATCATCACAATCCCTCGATAGCTTTTGCAAATTTATCTTATCCTTATCCACCATATCTTATCCACCATTATCACTCTTATATGCCTTATAATATTTTGATATCTCTCTGAATCTCAAATCCGTTTTCTGCGAAAGGGATCTCAAATCCCTTTTTGATATCTCTCTGAATCTCAAATCCCTTTTCTGCGAAAATTTTGAGAATTTTAAAAGGCCAAGTAGCCACATTTCTTCTTTGTAGCGCCGCAGGCGAAAATTTTTGAAGTTTCAGATGACCAATGGTCAAAAATCCTTCTTTTATAAGAATATATAAAAGAAAAGTGTGGTCGGTACTACCGAGTCGGTACTATCGGTAGTACCAAACTGTTCCGAACACTAATTATAACCTATTTTGAAGTTTATGGAACCTAATTTTGTGTTTATTTAGAGTTTAACCTAAAAATCCTATCCTAATTATCATTTTTTGAGGATTTAAATATTAATTAAATGAGCAATTTAAGATACGCGACTATTGTTGGCAATTCCGCAAACCAAAATCACAACTTGATCAAAGTGAGGGACATGGACATCGAGGTGGTCATAGCGGAGGACGGCATTCAAAAAATAAAGGTGGCCGAGGTGGACATAATTATGGGTCAGAATACCAAAGGGGATATGGTGAAGGACATAATTATGACATGGGTTATGGAAGCGGTCATGGTGGATATTAAGGAAATTACTGAAGAAGATATTTGTCAGAGATGGCATTAAAAGTATTCAAAAAGTATTTATTTAGATTTGAAAAGCCAGATTTTTGAATTTTTTCAATTATATTTCTATAGTAAATTTTGTTGAGAGTTTTCATATATGTATAGTGACTGAACTTCTTTTTACGAGTCCTAGAAATACTAAAAAGTTATAACTTATCAATCCAATAACGAATTCTGTTATAAGATGGATAAAAGGTAAATGATTCACAAAAACAATTTCAAAAATTTGGCAAAAATTTAAATTAGAAATAGAAATTAAATGAGAAATTTCTGTCTCTAATTTAAATTTTCTGAACAAGTCCATTCATTTAAAAACATCCAGTATATTACTGGCAACTTTTAAAGTGTTCAATGAGGCCGATTTAGCGGTCTTGGTAGGAAACACTAAATGTAGTTTTTAGCTTTATTTTTTGATATTTATCATTAAATTGTTTTTATTTTTTAAACAAATGTCGATAAATTGAAGAAAATTTGTTTTTTTTAATTTTATTTATACTTGAAAAATAATAAATATAAAAACATGTTATGTGGAAATTAAAGTAAATTTTTAAAGATTTTATTTATTCAAAAGCAAAATAAAATTAAATTTGCTAATCCTCTTCCTTAAAAATACCTTTATTTAAAAATTACCGTATATGCTCAGCTAATTGCCCCTCTCGATTAAATAACCCCTCCAGTGTGAGGTTGAGTAATAACTACCCATGATAATTATTTAACATTTACGGTAAAGGTCAACTGACAAAAGAAGTCTGTAGATAATAAAGAAAGACAAAGATGGTGTGAAAGTTAGTAAAAGAGTTGTAGATTACATTACTTTGGAGGTCATGGTGGATATTAAGGAAATTACTGAAGAAGATATTTGTCAGAGATGGCATTAAAAGTATTCAAAAAGTATTTATTTAAATTTGAATAGCCTGATTTTTGAATTTTTTCAATTAACATATTTTTATAGTAATTTTATTGAGAGTTCTCATATTTAGTGACTAACTCCTTTATACGAGTCCTAGAAATCTAAAAAGTTATAACTTATCAATCCAATAACGAATTCAGTTATCAGATTGATAAGAGGTGAATGTTTCAAAAAGGCAATTTCAAAAATCTGGCAAAAATTTAAATGAGAAATAGAAATTAAATGAGAAATTTCTGTCTCTAATTTAAATTTTCTGAACAAGTCCATTCATTTAAAAACATCCAGTATATTACTGGCAACTTTTAAAGTGTTCAATGAGGCCGATTTAGCGGTCTTGGTAGGAAACACTAAATGTAGTTTTTAGCTTTATTTTTTGATATTTATCATTAAATTGTTTTTATTTTAAACAAATGTCGATAAATTGAAGAAAATTTGTTTAAATATTTTTAAATTAAATGGGGATAAATTAATTTAATTTAAATGGGGAATTGTTTATAAAATGAAGGAATTTTATCGAAAAGAAAAATAAATTTAAATTAAAGATAAAAGCATAATAATGTTTAGGAAATAGTGCCTCTATCCCAGATTCTCTGTTAAAAGCGAAAAGTTTCAGGCAGAAAAGTTCCTCCATTTTAACGCCACAAAATCAAATGAATGAGAAATTTCGAAAGAAAACCCCATCGAAAAACTCCGAAAATAAACAAAAAAAGGCTTAGTTCCACCTTTAATTTAAATTTTTTGTCTGATTCTTAATGGTCTTTCAATGAAATATCAAACGAAGCTTTAAAATTCCCAACTTTCAAACCATTTTTCCAGCGTTCACCATTTCAGCCATCAATTTCCCCTTCTTTTGTATCCACATCTTCTTCAGCATGATATCCAGAGCCTCCTTGGATTCCCATATCTCCTTCGTGATGTCCAGTGTATTGTTGGCGTCCGCTCCCTGTATAATCCCCAAAACCTTGTTGATTATAAATTTGTTGATTTCCATAATCTGTCAGATATCCATAGTTTTGCTGATGTCCACTGAAATAATTTCCTAGAATACTTGCTTGATTGTATCCGAAAGCATTTCCTTGTACAAAATTATGTTGATATCCCCAAGTTGAAGTATCTCCATATCTACAGCACATTTCTTTCAGCTTTAAATTAGGTATAAAAGTTTTAGATTATATATTAATTTATTATTTAAAAAATTAATTTAAATAATTTTTAAAAACATTATCGAGAATCATTTGATGTAGTTTAAAAGTTTCGTTGTCCGGATCATACATCAAAATGTTTTGGTGAAAACCGTTAAAGAGATGTTGTTGTTTTTCTTCATCAGCTAATAATACATTAGCTATAATTCTTCTAAGTTTTTCTAATAAATTTCCACTATTTGATGTATTATTTTTCAGATAATTGTATAATTGAGTAAAATTTTCAAAAGTTAAACTATTTAATGTACGATTAATTAGATTACAGTTACTCTTGCTCAATTCTTCGTTGGTTTCTTAAAAAGTATTTGTATAAATTATTTATTCAAATTTTCATCCATGATCCTAGCGTAAGGCTAATACACAGAAGTTACACTATTATGTCAGACAATCATATAATAAAACTTCAAGGAAATTAAGGGAAAACAAACGACCGAAAAAAATGCTTTTTGCAGAAAATAAAAAAAACTTCAAATTAAAGAACGAGTAAGTCTACGAATTTTAGTTATCCACAAACATTTATAAACCCTATCCTATTAATATTATGTGCCCAAGAAAATTCTTGAGTCAAGACTCGAGACCAAGAGTCTTGGAAGTCTCTACTAAATAGGGCAAATGCCCTGTAAAAAGTGCAAAAAATTCACTTTGTACACAACAACGAATTAAGAAAATAAACATACTATAAGTTTTATAAAGTAAAGGAAGAAATTCTTCCACTTGAATTTCAGAATCTAAAGAAATATTTGTTGGATATTCATTGCTCTCATCTTGAAGTAAAGATGGCAAATAATTGTTCCCTAAATTTTAATTAATTTATAGACATATCTAAATTTATAAAAAATTTAAATAATAATTATTATGTATGTAGGTCAGGGTTTCGATATCTGCGGATTTTTCCTCATTTTGTGGTTTTTTGATAGGGCGATGAGGATTATTTTTAAAATGCGGATTTGCGGATTTTTGTGGTCTTTTGAAGATTATGAGTATTTTTTATATTTTCTTGTGGTTTTTAGCAAAAATGTCATTATTTTTCCGCTAAGACCTTCTAAAATCCTCAAAATTTTCGCCTGCGGCGCAAAAAGGAAGGAATATATGTCCTTGATCTTCCAAAATTTTCAAAATTTTTTGCCTGGCCTGAAAAGGAACGATTTTTGGCTTAAAGATCTTCCAAAATTAAAAAATTTTCGCCTGCGGCGCTGAAAATAGAAGGAATAAAAATTTACGACATCTTCCGCGACAAAAATGAAAGTGCAATTCTTCAAATAATTGTTGATTTTTTATAAGACTTATATCATAACTTTGTCTAAACTTGATCAATCACTGTAATTTTGGTGTCATTTGTCGAAAACAGAATTCGGCAGGTTCTTTTTAGCAACAAACAAGAATAATATTGAATTAATTAAATTAATTCAAATATAAAATTAAATATAAATTGGAATTCAATCCAATTAATTCCAAAGAATTAAATAAAAATAAATAATTTTTATTCAATGTAAAACAATAAAGTTTTATTTATTAAGGTTTTTTATTAAAGTGTTTGTAGAAGATATATAAAATATAAAGGAAAGGATTTCATTTTATAGGAAAATAAAATTGTTCATTCATGCCACTAAGGGCGGAAGTGTTTTAGCGCTAAAGTGTGTGAAACTTAATAGTGAGGAGAGAAAAATGATTAATCTTAGGATTGGAAGTACAAAGAGTAAAAATGTAAGGAAATAAAACACGTGAAAAATAAATGAAAGAAAAATTATGAATCATCAATATTTTATTAAAATGTCGAACTTCGACATCCTCCCACTTTAAGAGAAATTGTTTCCGGCATTCTTTCATTCGTTCTTTTGGTTTGTCTCATATGTGCGCATGTTCTATTCTGCCAGTTTTTGTTGCTGTTTGGCATTTGTTGTCTCGCTCGTTGGTTCACAAATCCGTTTATGGCTCCAAGGCCAAATTTGCTGTATGGTCCATTGTTTAGTTTGATAACATTTTTCCTGGGATAAAATTCCCGAAATCTATCTTTATGCCGATTGTTCCCATACGTGCTGTTTGGTTCCATTATCAATACTTCCTTTTCACTCTTGCTTACGAGCATCCTATTTCTCACTGGGATTAATGGAGTGCCCATAGTGCTTAGCTTGATGAGTATTGAACGTAGATCTTTAGGCTCCTTATATGACGTGACATTGTACAGCCAATGAATTTCTATCCCATCAACTGGTTTTATCCAGACAATTCGTCTCAGCTGTTGCTTAAACTCATTTGCCTTTCGTAGGACTTCAAAGAGTCCGTTGTCTGTATTTTGCTTCCATACTACTAATGTGTCGACGCTTTTCGAGAGTTGAATCTTTCTATCAAAGAGCTTGGCATCCCAGGACCTTGGTTCAAAGACCATTCCTCTTAAATTTTCCTCTTTAAATATTTTTCGAAGCTCTAAGGCTCTCTTGTCTCCAATAATTACTATCGGTGACGTCGCCACCAACAGCTTTCTGTCAGTAATTACTTGCGTCCTAACATGCACTTTTTGTTTTAAATCATAAGGTCTCCGTTTGTCCTCTGGCGTGTTGCTTATTGCTTTTGCCTTCACACATTCTACTTTTTGGTTACTAACAACCTTATTTAAATTTATCAATTTTTTACTGATGGGTACGTTCAATTCCGATGATGTATTTATCTCATCGTAGATCCCTCCCCCCTTAAAAATTTTTTGAGATCCATTTTCGGTTCTAAGACCGTATTTACTTAATTGAGCACCGCTGACCTCTAACGGTCTATCATAATAGTCCCTTTCAACACACTGACAAGCTGCGACAATTTCTTTTTGTGTAGTCGTGGCACTAATGCCTTTGCTTTGCTCTTTTATTTCTTTTACTTTTCCGAATTTGTACTCACACA